CTAGGGTAATTGGTCAACATGGTTTGGCCGAAGGAAAAGCTGTAAGATTGGCAACAGTAGTAGCAGTAGTTCGGAAGATGGTTTTGATTCCACTGAGGTAATTGTTTTAACTAAGAATTTATGCTTAGTGTCTAAATTTACAAGAGGATGGAGTAGAAATATTTTTCATCTCATTTAAGAAGATAGCTGGACAGATGAAGTGGCCAAAAGATCCTTAATGTTACAAAGTGTTTTTACAGGTACAGTTATCACTGTATGTCAGTTTGTCAGAAGAACAGTCTACAAAGGACAAACTGTTGAAAAGGCATTATTCGATGCTTATGACCTTGTACCTGAAGTGTATCAATTGAAACTTAGGTCTACAAGAAACCAATTTAATCAGAAGTTTATACAATTTGCCAAGGAGAAAAACACTGTGGGATGAGTGGTTTTGATTTCCTAAAGTGATAGGTCAGATACAGTTGAGGTCCCTGTCAACCACAGTGAGTGGGAAACCACTGTCATGGAAGAAGCAAGCCATGTAAGCAGCGTTATTTTGGAAGGTGGCATCATCTAAAAAGATGCGACGTTGGCGAAGGAACTGGGAGAATGGGATGGAGTCCTTGTAGGACATGGGCTGACAAGAGCTGTAGTGAAAGTAGCTATGGGAGTCTGTGGTTTTGTAGTGGATGGCAGTGGACGGCAGTGGACAGCTTATTCCCTGAAATAGAGACAGAGGTCAAGGAAAGGAAGGGAAGTATCAGAAATGGACGATGTGAAAGTTATAGGGGGGTGGAAATTGGATGCAAAATGAACAAATTTTTCAAGATCCTGGCGGGAGCATGAAGCAGCACTGAAGCAGTCGTTGATGTACCAAAGAGTTGCGGGAGGGAGCCATTGTAGGATTGGAACAAGGAGGCAGGCATAACTGGGACCAATGCGCGTACCCATAGCCACTCCTTTGACTTGGCAGAAGTGAGATGAATTAACTGAGAAATTGTTCAGTGAGAGAAGTTCAGCCTGACGGACGAGAGTGATGGTGGATGGGGATTGTTCAGGCCTCTGGTCGAGGAGGAAGCCGATACCTGTCAGACCATCCTGGTGGGGAATGGATGCATAAAGGGATTGGACATCCATGGTGAACAGGAGACAGTTAGGGCCAGGGAATTGTAAATTACCAATATGATGGTGGGCGTCAGAGGAATCACAGATGTAGATGGGCAGGGTCTGGACAAGTGGAGAGAGGATGGAGTCAAGGTAGGAGGAAATGAGCTCAGTGGGGCAGAAACGGGCTGAAACAATGGGCCTACCAGGGCAGTCTAGATTGTGGATTTTGGGAAGGAGCTAGAAGCAAGCTATCTAGTCGACAAGGTTGGAGGCAGTGGGGGAAAGCTCTTTGGAGGTAATGAGGTCAGTGACAGTCCTGGCAGTAATGGCTTGATGTTCGGATGTGGGGTCATGGTCTGGGGCGGTAGGAAGAGGTGTCCGAGAGTTCAGTGCACCAGACTACAATAGCACCGCCTTTGGCAGCCAGTTCGATAACAAAGTTAGAGTTGGCCCTAAGAGAGTGAAGTATGGCAATTTCAGAAGAGGACAGGTTAAAGTGGGTGAGAGGAGTAGAGGAATTCAGATGGCCAGTGTCACGTCGGCAGTTTTCAATGAAGAGATTGAGGGCAGGCAAGAAGTCAGGGGAACTGGTTCAAATGAATGGTGAGTACTGGAGGCAGGTGAATGGATCAGTGGAATGAGGCAAGGAGTCATGCCTGGAGAAGTGAGCACAGAGATGGAGGCGGTGAAAAAACAGTTCAACATTGGGGTGAGCCCGAAATTCATTAAGATGGGGATGTAAGGGTGTGAAACTGAAGGACAGTACATTCAACCTCAGAGAGGGGAAGGTCGGGACACGTGGTGGAAACACAGCAAGGGCTGGGGTTGTGGGGAGTGGCCTCAGGGACAGAAAGTGATAGCGTCTGATGACTGGAAAAGAGCAGATGCTAAGGAACAATCTGCAGGACGGATGTTGGAGTCCATAAGTTGCTGGAGTTGCGTGCCTTGACGTCCGAAAGTAAAAGTTTTTTTGTTGAGGCGAAGGGTGATGAAACTGGGGAACAGTGCAGCTTTGAGAGAGGATGAGTTGATGTTCTGCAGAGTGAAGTTGAGTGTGCACATATGCCGGCGTGTGGTTGTTGATCGTAGATCGCAGGATGAGGCGGGAGCTGCAATCTGAAGAATGTTGTATGTCCAGGAGATACTTGTAATCCTGGATGGATTCAAAACATGAAGGGTGACATTTGAAATGAAATCCATGCGCGGTAAGTCAGAGTCATTGGCAGTCACTGTGGAAGGAAACATGGCTGTGGAAGCAAATTTTGGCAAACACCTTATCGAAAACCAGCAGTGAAATGGAGAGCAACGAAGATGTACAAGGTGAAGGAGACAGCCAGAATTCCTGGAAGAGCAAAACTTTTTCAGGGTTGGAGCAAATTACTGCGGATGCTGGAATCTTTACGGAAAGCAACAAATGCTGGAGATCATAGCGGGTCAGACAGCATCCATGGAGTGAGAGTAAGCTAACGTTTCAAGTCTAGATCACTTCAGCTCTGATGAATAGTCAAGTGTGGAGGGGATAGGATTTATACTATAGTTTGGGGGTTGGGGATGGGTGGCGTGGGGTGATAGATGTAGAATGCTGGTTGAGCAAAGGTGTTGATAGTTCAGATTAAGTGATTGGAATGTGAGAACTAATTGTTGGATTGCAAATTTAAATTAATAATTGACCTGGTAATCTGTACAAAATGAAGCTAACAGCATTAGAAGCCATTACTTTAATAGTAATTGGAGTACAATGGATGAGCAAAAATACCTGGGTTTTCTTCCCTGTGTGATCTTAAATTTTTAATTTATCTGATCATTAAAAATCATCAATTTGTGTTCTGAATGTATTTTAATTGAAGAATAAAAATGTAAACATATTTATTTGACCAATTAGACAAGTCATCATCGCTTCTTAAAAAATGTCTCAATACTCTGATCCCTTTGGTTGAGCGAAGCTACTCATTTTCTATTGTCACTTATCAGTGATTCATGATTATTTTATCTGCATGTATTGATTTACATAGCGACATATAAAAATGTTTATAAATTTGCATGAGAAAAATTAAATGTAGACTATTTAAAATGGCAATATGACAGATGCCAACAAGTGTTTTAATGCAATAGGGACATTTTCTCGAGGTGGATTTGCTTAAACCAATTTACAGTGCAACATTGACTTTATTTAGAATTGAACTTTAGATTGGAATAGTCTATATTTTAGGTTTCGTTTCCAGTTACCAATAGAAATGAAAAATAACTCAGGAAATAAGTTATACTATAAGCATACAGGCAAAAGAACCAAAGTGCATAGCCCTAATTTTCTTTATCAATCCTGAGTAAAATAGAGCAACATTAAATTTTCATATTGGAATTTTTTTGAAAATTTATCCTTGCATGGGAGGTCTGCATTACTGACAGGATCACCATTTGTAGCACATCCTTAACTGTTTTCAGAATGTAGTAGTGAGCTATGTATTTAAACCACAATAGTCCATGTGGTATAGGTACACCCACAATAGCATTAGGAATGGCGTCCAATGCTTTTATCCAGTGATAGTAAAGGAACAGCAATATAGTTCCAAGCTGGCTCCCTATATCCTTTGAATTCTTGCAAGACCAAAAATCTATCTTGTTTGTAAATTTTTCATTCATGAACTGTCTGCAATCCTATGATGTAGAAAATTCCAAATTAACACAACCCTAAGAGCAGAAATTTCTCTTTATCTCTGTCCTAAATGTTTGGGCATTGTTCTGAGGTAGTACTCTGGATGGGAAAACTGTGTTCACCCTATCAGCCTCTTCAGAATCTTGTATGTTTCAATGAGAGAGCTTCCAATTCTTCTAAACTCCAGGAAGTATAGGTCCAATTTACTCAGTTTCTGATTGTGGAATGGCCGCCTCCAGTCGGGAGCTGACGTAGTGAATGTTCTTTGTAATGTTTACCTGTAATGCAAGTATGACCTTTCTTAAATATGGAGACCATAGCTGCAGAGAGTAATCCAAATTTGGTTTTACCCAAGCCATACATTATGGCTAGACTTTTTTTTTATTTATTCATTTGTGGGATGTGGGTGTTGCTGGCTGGCCAGCATTTATTGCTCAGGATTTGTATCCTGTGGCTCAGTTGCATTAAAGTCAAATGTGCTGTTAACCTTTCTAATGCCTTGCATTACCTGCATATTAACTTTTTGTTCCTTGTGTAAGTATGCTACATACATCTGAACATAAAGATTGGCAAGTTACATGCCTTGTAAAAATAGTCTGCTTTTCTCTTTCTCTTCTTACTACCAAAGTTAGTAATCTCTCACTTAACATATACTGCAACTACCACTTTGTTGTCCTCTCTTAATTTGTCTATAGTCTCTTTGTATTATTTTCATAACTTGCGTTCCCACCTAGCTTTGTATCCAGCAAACTACAATCAATTATTCTCTGTGTCTTTTTGTCCGAAGTCATCAATATAAATTATAAATTGCTATACCCTGATCCTTCTGCACTTCGTTAGTCGGAGCATGTCAACTTGAAAGTATCCCATTTATTTTGACTCCCTGCTTCCCATCCATTACTCGATACATCATATTCTTAATTCCATGATCACCTGTTTTGAATATTAACTCTTTGTGTGACACCTTATCAAATGTCTTTTGGAAATTCACATACAGTACATCTACTGCTTTTGACTTCATCTAACCTACTAGCTTAATCTTAAAAACACTAATAAATTTGTTGAATACCACCTCCCCTTTGTGAAATCATGTTGGTTTTACCTTGATTATATTATGATTTTCCAAGCACATTGATAAGACTAACTTAATAATATGTTCAGCATTTTCCAGTTACTGATGTCAGGCAGTTCTCTATTTTCTCAGTCCCTTTTTGAATTATGGAGTAATGGTTGCTAACTTTTGTGCTATATTCATCTGTAGGATCTTAAGAAGCCTTTTGATAAAGCCTGGAAAGACTATGAAACAAAAGTGTAAGCCTTGTAATTTTTTTTGGAGTAGTAAGTAGTATATTTGCATGGCTATTTCGAAATTAACACTCTTTATATGGGTATTCAGTGGATATTGTAACATTCAATATATTGCTTTTTTAAAAATCAGTATTTTTGTGATAATGGCTATGACCTATGTATATCAATCATTATATAGTAAGTTTTTTGTATGAATTATGGTTAATGATATGTTCTGAGTGACATTTCTAAGACTTCAGAGCAGAATGGTCTATCCAGGTTGAAGTGCCCAGGGATTACCACCCAAAGAGTGAAAAGCCGTTGCTCAAATACAGAGAGGAAAGAAACCAATAAATAAATTATTGAACATTTATTTTTAGTCCTGATGTAGTGAAAATATATATTCACAAGCAGAATTTTGTTATCTTTTTCTTATAACTTAAATTGTTCATCAATTCTATCGTGTAAGATAAAAGCTAAAAGTCAACTCCAGAAATTAAAATGTTTGTCTCTCAAAACTGCTCAATTATTCGTAACCAGATTTTACAAACCAATGTTGGATACCAAGTTTATCACTTTAACAAAAATTAACAATTTATTATTAATAATGTAACTTCAGCAAAATACAGATGAACTACAAGGCAATCTAATTAATATGTAAGCCCAATCTTCTTTGATCATCCAAACCCGCACTCTAATCAAGAGATGTAATTGAGAGGTAATTTTTCTTAAAAAGCATCAGTTGCCAGTCTGATTACCATTTCAGTGAATACCATGTCTTCAGGAAGTCTGATGGGTTCTGTTACAGGCATGTAGGATTGAATCATGCTTGAATTCCGAAGTCACCAGTCAATGCAAGCGACTTCTGCTGACCTCCAGAGACTTTTCCTTATTTCTTATCCTGGGATTCTTTCTCAGGACTTTCAGCCAGTTGATAACTGGAGACTAGAGAGAACAAAACCAAAAACGCAGTCCTGCAGCTTACAAGGCAACACTGCTTCCTGCCCAAAAACCCAATTAAAACCAGTTCACCCTTTCAGTTTCTCATTTTCAACATTCTCTGGTTGTTTGGCCAGCATCTGTTCTCCCTTGATTGACCAATTCAACATCCAGCCAGCTGCCAATCCCTCAATATAACATCTCGATGCTGGTTTGTCTATAGTGTCCTTAGAACAGTAATTAAACTGCAGTATCCTTCCAGTTCCCAGATTCAAACGTCAGTCTTTTCATAGAATCCCTACAGGGTGGAAGCAGGCTATTTGGCCCATCGTGTCTACACTGGCCCTCCAAAGAGCATCCCACCCAGACCCACCCCTGCCCTATTCCTGCATTTTCCACCCTAGACACTATAGGCAATTTAGCATAGCCAATCTGTCTAACCTGCACATCGTTGGACTGTGGGAGGAAACCGGAGAACTTGGAGGAAACCCACGCAGTCATGGGAAGAATGTGCAAACTCCACACAGACAGTGGCCCGAGGCTGGAATCGAATCTGGGTCCCTGGTGCTGTGAAGCAGCAGTGCTAACCGCTGAGCCAAGCTGCTGTTTGAACCTGATTGCCCTGGGTGGCCAAGTGACATTTCCCAAGGTCTTAGATCGAGATGTGACTGTACTCTTGACTGTGTAGGCACCCCTGACTGTCCATAGACCCATTTGACTCGCTTAATGAATACTCCCCTTAGACATTGAGACCTGACTATTTGTTTGAAGCACATTGTGTATTTACGCATAAGCTGCTCATTCATAGTTATAAGTGTGACAATGGTGTAGCATGGTGCTGTATAGCAACATGTCCAGCCCCTTGACTGTTCATTGCAAAAGAAACATGACAACCTTCCTGACTTTGTCTTTGCTGAAAGGCAAGGCAAGACCGAAATACTTGTGAGCATCCAAGTTTACGCAACGTGATTGAACACGAGAAAAAGAGGCCAGAGGTGCATTTTGTTCCAAAACATGAGCGTTCATACATCCAGTTTACATGAGTTATGTATAGTTACTAGATGCACTTTGCAAGGAGATTATTTGAAGCATTACTGTCACAGAAATAAAAATTGTGATTTTTTTTGTTGTTAATACATTCATCAAAGTTTGTTTTTGTGGCTTTGTAACTAAAGTCATTATGCAGTTTACTTACTTGATGTTCAAAGATGAAAATGGTTTGTTGATATGTAGCATTATATAGTTTGTGGCATTACATAGTATATATAGTTTAGAACTAGTACTTTTTACTCCTCCAAAACAGTTGATACGTTATTTCTTTTTAATAACTGGGAAAGCCTTGGATGACTGTAATTTTCATTTTTTTATACTACAGTCATTTTATTAGGTGGTCGTCCAGCAAGAAGAACTTGCATTTGTGTGCATCTTTTATGACCTCAAAATGCCCTCCGATAATATCATTAACAATGTAAATAACTTACCAGGTAATGTGTTCCAGTGGTGTTAGTTGAGAGATAATATTGGACAGGTTATTAGGTACAATATTCCTGCAGGTAATCAAAATTGCATTTTTCATTAGCAGGTGGTGTTAAATTGACCTGTGATTATTTTCCTTTATTGCAAGCTGCTGGGTCAACTGGGGACCTTGAATGCCCAATTTAAGTTACTTCAATGCTTCTTCCTACAGTTGCTGGAATTAGGCAGTCCTAGGTGTCCCTGGTACTAATGTTACAACTTGGGCAGGCAACAAGCTGCTGGGACAAGATGTGACTTGTTTTCAAGTTGCCTTTGCCTATTGGAGGTGAGCCCCACCCCCACCACAAAAAATCCTTTTCACTCTCCCTTGTTGACCCACGCTCCCCTCTGCGAAAAACCAGGCTTGCTTTACCTTGGCCTCCATGGCTCCTCTTGTTCAGTGGAGTGCCTGTAGTTGAGGCAGTGCCATTGCTTCCAGTGGCACTGCTGGAATGAGAGAGCTGCCAGCCACTTATTGGACTGCAGCTCTGTGGTGGGACTTCCTCTCTGTTAACAGCCCAATGCTTGCCTCAAGCCAATTAATGGCCTGACAGCCAAGATATGACTGCAGGGAAAGCTGGCACTGGGGGAGAGCGAGCACTGCCCCAGCATAAAATTCAACCCTTTGATTCTCCTGAAATTTTTTTGCTTCAATATTCTGAAGATCAAGGGAAGAAACTGAACAGGAACTGAATCTTTTAATTTGTTAATTTTGAGATGTAGACTAAAAGGAAAGTATTTTGAAAAACAAGTTGGAGGAGATCAAAGTGTTGCGATCTCAATGGATATGACTGACCATCTTGGAAAAAATATCAAGAAATAATAGCTTAGTCTCTAGAAATAATAAGTTAGAGGTCTGTTCCAATTAGATGGATGTCTGACATCATGTCTAGATCCACAGAAAATCATTAGTGGCAGCTGGCACTTAAGAAAGGAAGACGTGCCTGACAAACCTGCCATCACAGATTTCTTTCAGAAAGCAAAGGACAAGGGAATTGCAGTCGATGTGTGTAACTGTACTTTCAAATGTATTTTGTATGAAAACTATGAAAAAACGTAAGGATTTGGAGGTTGAGAAGCAAAAGACATTTGAAGCAGAATCTCAAGGTTATTTAATACATCTGCCTTTGAACCAGTCTCAAGATTTATTACACAAAATAATGTGATATTGGTGAGATTTGAATATTAAAATGGGAAAATTCATGTAACTTTTAGCACAACTGTAATACTGTAATTTTGTTTGCAGTACAAAAATTGAGAAGGAGAAAAAAGAACATGCCAAGCAACATGGTATGATCCGTACGGAAATAAGTGGAGCAGAAATTGCTGAAGAGATGGAGAAAGAGCGGCGATTTTTTCAATTACAAATGTGTGAGGTAAATCAATTCCGGCTAATTGTGACTTTTTTGTGCAGATTATTGTAATTAGGAAATTATTTGGTTAACCATAGCAGTACCTTATGGGACTGGTTGTTTTTTTCTGTCATTACCTGTCAGTAGATTCTATTTAGGATGATTAGCTGCAAATTTTTAAAAATATTATATTATAGTCTTGTGGATTAATTTAGGCTTATTTGTATGTAGCATCTATTTGCATGCCTCAATTGATATTTGAATTGATTTTATGCAGCCTAATCATAAATTGCAGTTATGTACAAATTGTCCACAATAGCTTATAAAAGTTTCACCTCAAATAGAAACGTATACATCACAATTCCATAGCTTCCTTGCTTGAGCAGATTAGGTGAATGTATGCAGTATCATTTACATGTAGGAGTATTGCAATTTGGGTTAAATGAGCTGTCAGCCATGATTTAGCGATTATGCTTTTTCCTGTGGGTTCTGGAACCTCCCTGGAGACAAATCCCAGGAGTACTACACTGTTGGAGGTGCCATTGTTTAGATAGGACATTAAATCAGAGCCTACTCAGCCTTGTTAAGTGAACTTAAAAGATCCCTACTTTGAAGAGAAGCAGGTGTTCTGACCAATATCTATACTGCACTAACATCACTGAACTCAGTTTTTTGGTTGCATTGTGGAATTTTGCGTAGAAATTAACTGCCGCTTTTCCTAAATTGCAACAGGTGGCTTTAGGTGGAAGCTTCCACTTCTTGATCCAAGTATGGTGACAGGTGGGATGTCCCATCACTGTGAATAGAAAAGTCCACCAGGTATTCTGCCTATCTGACAATAAATGATACCTGGCGAGCTTTCCAGTGAGATCAGTTCTAAGGAACATAGTGTCCTGTCTGCCTGAAGCTGCTAGCCATCAGCCTGGCAGCTTGTGTAAACTGCAACACCTCCTCAGAGGTTATGGCTTCTCAAGGCATAGCAGCTTGGAAGTCAAGGAGCAGTGGGCACAGGAGGTACATTCTCAGAAGTGTATATGTATATGTCTTTGTGGGCATCTGTGACAACTTTAGGGTGCAGGCAGCAGGGAAAGGGGCCAGAAGCAAGGGCAAAGGGATGTCTTTCAGCAACCACTCACTTTCTCCCACCACCTGCTGTTGCTAATTCTTAGAATGCAGGCTGTTCGGAAGGCTGCAAGTTTGTTCATCTGCTGGAAACACACACAGTCACAGTGGTGGCCTAAGGAGGCTCTTACAAGTTTTTTTTTTTCTTTGCTTTCATTTTTTTTCTGTTTGCTCTATGCTCTCAGTACTTTTGGAATATAAACGTTCATCTAGATTCCTGTCAGTTGCTGATTCCCACAGGAGGCTCAGTTTGGAATTCCTGTCATTTTCTTGAGCTCTTACCCTCTAATCACAGATATACAGGTTGGCGCAACTACACAGCGGAATCCACTGGCTGCTGGTGTGGATCCCATGTAGTAACTCAGTTCACTTACAATTGGTGACCTTACTGGAAAATAGTAATTTCCCTGGAAATACTTATGACTACACACATATTCCTCCATTCATAATGGTTGCTGGAGAGACGTCCATGATGGTATAGAGTTGCAGAGGTAGTGTGACTGTCGGGATTTACATCCCACCTGCTCAGAGGTGTATGTCATAACGTGTGAACAGGTTGATTAAATAACTATAAATTGAGATCTTGCCCAGATTCCAGATATTTCTTTTGTGTTGCTGCAAGGCCAATATTTACTGCATTTCCTTAATTGCCTTGAGAAATTGGTGTTGAGCCATTTTCTTATACTTCTGCAGTCCATCAGGCACTCCCACAGTGTTGTTGACATGGGAATCCCAGGAATTTGACCCATAAGGATCAGAAGTGAAAATTAAGGGCGCGCACACTTTTATATTTCTGGTGGAATGGGTCTAAGGATTTTCAGTCATGCAGTTATCACAACTCATTTTTACATACATCAGTAAAGCCACACTCTTAAAGTTGTATGCAGGATGTTGTATGCAACTTTCTTAGCAAATTTATTAACCAACATACAATTATCTGATGTATAGTTATTAAATATTAATGATCATTTAATTGTGCAGGTTTATTTACAAGTTGCACTAGAACCAGCAGTTGTACATCTTCCTTTTTTTTTCATTTTATGTTGAACTGTTCAGTTTAAAAATATTTTTTTCTCTACAGTATTTGCTTAAAGTCAATGAGATCAAGATTAAGAAAGGTGTTGATTTACTCCAGAACCTGATTAAATATTTCCATGCGCAATGCAAGTAAGTTTTTGTGCTTTATTCCTTATTATCAAAAAATCACAACCGTTTTGATTATATGTTGAATTCTGTTAAAAGAATTTATGCAGTATTTACTTCTAAAATCTGCCTCATTGTTTGCTCAGTTTATTGGTTATTATGCTGATTAGTTTATTGTTAATATTTATGATACATTTCAGTTTAACTGTTTAGTAACAGTTTCTTTCAGGATGGCTTGAAAGCTGTAGAAAATTTAAAACCTTCCATGGAAAAACTGGCTACAGATTTGCATGCTGTAAGTGGAATTATGACTGTCTGAAACTTTATTTGTCTATTGAGGAAGTATTAAAATTGTCGCAAATTACACTTGTTCACGCATGCCTTTGGTTCCAGACTTAACTGCTGCAATACATTGTTGGCTGGTCTCTCTCATTTCTACCCAATGTGAGCTTGCTCATCCAAAACTCTGTTGCCTGTATTTTAACTCGCCAATGGTCCTATAACCTTATCTTCCCTGTGTTCACTGATGAGCAATGACTCCTGGTCAAGCAATGCCATGCTTTCAAAATTCTCATCCTTGTTTTCAAATCCCAACATAGCCTGAACCTTCAATATTTCCGTACCTACTTTGATCAACCTCGTAAAAGTAGATTATGGGTAGTGTCTTAAGGGAGAAAAGCAAGGTAGAGATGTGAATAAATATTCCAGAGCTTGGGACCTATATAACTGTAGGCACAACCAAAAATGTTGGAGTGATTAAAATTGGTAAAGAACAAGAAACTAGAATTGAAGGGGTGCAGATATTTTGGAGGTTTGTTAGGCTGGACATTACAAAACTATAGATGGGTGAGGCCGTGTTGGGATTTGAAAACACATTTTTGGTTATCTAACATATTTTCTCCTGATGAAATTCAACATCATGGTTGATGCTCCTGGGACAGTAAAGGTGCTGTATAAATCTAAGATCTTCGTTGTTGTGGTGGCTTGTAGGTCTCATTTGATTTTTGATTTCTGATGAGTCTGCTGACCTTGTCAAGGGAACAGTTTGGTCCTGTAATTCACTTTGTTGCAGCAGACCAGAGGATAGAGAAATATCTGCTCTTGAATACTTTATGATAGTTATTGTAAATAAAATGCATGCAAGTGAATTTCAGCATCGGGTCTGATCTGGCCATATTATTCCTCCATGGTTAAATAGCCTAGTGACATTCAAATCTGCAGTTTCTGCTTAAAAGTTTTTAACAGCATTCAAATGAAAACATCTTGATTGTACTGAGTTCGCTCAAGTAAGCTCATGAGCACATCTTCAAGTATGGATTTGGAGTAATGGTATAGTGATCATTATAATTAAAGAAGTGGAAAGTTGGTTAGTTGCACACAGCCTTTGGGTACCCTCAAAAAACCTCTCAACGTATCAATAGCCTTTTCCAAGGGACTGAAAAGTGACATCTAAAATTAAAGGAAAGGAAACTATTATGTTGGTAAGAGCTTAGAGTTACAGAGCAGTCCAACACTAAAACTTTTTTATTTGCTTGGGTGGAGATAATGTTGTTATAGGTGATTATAATGACAGTGATCTATTATGCCACTTTACAGCATTGCACTCTAACATTGTAGCATGTCTCCCATTAGGTCAGCTTGCAGTCGCTGTGATTGAATGTGGCAGTCTATGCTGCATGGTAGCTGGTGGTGTGTTCATTGTGAATGATTGGCTCTGCATCTGCCTGTTCACCCAGGCCCTGAAAAGACACTCCCTGACAGTCAGTGCTGGATTGATGAGTCAAGACGATTGAAGTCGTGGGTGTCTTTGGTAGAAATGGCTATTCAGACTACATGGGATCTTATTGCTTTTTTTGTCTTTGGCCAGCTGGTTTGAGCTTGAGGCTACCTGTCGTATTTACTAACCTCTGAATCAATAACTTTTTGCTACTTAGTTCCTTTAACAAGGTCTCAAGGTGTTTTTCAAGAGTGTTATAAAGTGACATAAGACACTGAGCCGCCTGAGATATTAGGGCATCAGCCCATAGTGGGGTGATTAAGATTGAGGATATTCAAGAGGCTGGAATTAGACGAGGTATCTTGGAGTGTGGTGCCACTGGAGGAATTTGGAGTTGGGAAAAAGTAGGGACATGGATTTGAAATCAGGGATGAGAATTTTAAAATGAAAGTGTTGTCTATCCGGGGGCCAATGTATATGAATGATGAGATTGGGTTGATAAGCAAACAAGACTTGCTGCAAGTTAGGGTGCTAGCAATAACATTTAGATAACTTCCAAGTTCCAGAAAGGCTGGCGAGAGATTGTTTGGACTGATCAAGACTTGAGGTAACAAAAGTGGAACAAAGACCATGTGATAGGCAGCCTTAGTGATAGTCCAATTATGTGGTTTGAAGCTCATAATGTGTCAGAAATAACAGCAATGTTGTGGTCATCAGCCTGGTTTAGCCTCATGGCAGTCAGGGAGAGGGGTGGACTCAGTGCGTGGGAAACCCAATTTGTAATGGACACTGAATTGGAGTCAAGTAATTGATGTGGATATGTCTATGGGGCAATGGAGGGGTCTAGAGACATAGGGTGGAAATGGGTGTTGTTAGTGTATGGAGAAACTGGAGCTGTGCTTTTTGGATAATGTCATAGAGGAGAAATATGTAGAGGAGGGAGAGGTCAGAACTTGAGGATAGGCCTGGAGGGGACATCAGAAGTGATGATGCAAGTGTGGATTGGGAAATCATTGTAGGTGACTCTCCAACTGCAATAAAATAGCTAAGATTGGAAGTACTCAGCTAGATAATAGTTGGAAGGTATTGGAGTAGGATGATGTGGTCAACTGTATCAAAAGCTGAGAATTCCAAATATGTGGAGGTGGCGGCTGGAATCACCCTCAATCCACTAATAAGACTGGGCAAACTCAATCACAAGTGAAACAATGAGAGAAAAATTGCCCTCTTGCATGAAAATGTTAGAATACACAAGGAGCTGCTTCTCCACTCAGGAGGTGTTTCTCTCCAGCACTTGCTGATCAACTCAACTGCATCTCATCAATCGTCACACGTGAGAGAAGCAGCCCAGAATTGGAGGAGCATCTGGAAAGTGAGTAACAATGCATGATCCTGAGCACGGAATGGTAGTGGAGAGACTCTGTAGGGGGAGTAAAGAGACACTGAGAGGTCAGGGAATTGAAAAGAAAGACTGGCAGTCTGGTTGAAATTTGGGGCTCGTGGGAAGAGGAGAGTTTGTAAGCAGGGTAGGGTGCATCTTCAGAGATAGGAACTGCTGATGCTGGAGAATCTGAGATAACAAGGTGTACAGCTGGATGAACACAACAGGCCAAGCAGCGTCAGAGGAGCAGGAAAGCTGACATTTTGGGCCTAGACCCTCCTTCAGAAATGGGTTTCTGAATTTCTGAAGAAGCGTCTAGGCCCGAACCGTCAGTTTTCCTGCTCCTCTGATGCTGCTTGGCCTGCTGTGTTCATCC